ACTGAACAAGCAAGCCTGCGGAACGAAAAAGAACACTTCGAAAACCAGACAGGCCAGCAGAGCTGGAAAAATAAGCCTCCAGAGCCAGAAACATTGCAAAACTAGGGCAGGAGGGATTCATAGCAAGAAAGCGCTCGTATCTGAAAAAGGAGCCGACGTAACCTGAGAGCCAGCAGCCTGAAACAAAACAACCTTCGGAGCAAAAACACCCGAAGAGCGAGGGGAGGTGGCTCAATAACCGGGTGGCTCAATAATCAGACAGCAGGGCGAGATGAGGGCGGCCAAACTAAAATTACAAGACCCAGCCCCCATGAGCAGCCTGACGAAACGTCGTCCATAACGTGAAAGGCTGTGGAACTGGCTTGGAACACAGGTCGATTGCAGAGATGACGGCGCAACTTCAAACAGTAACCCCCGATAACAAAAAAAAATGGCAAATGAAAGGAGCGACTGCGCCTCCGTAGATGGCCAGCCCCAGGGCGAGAATATTTCGAACACGGGGTTCAGGAAGTGAAAAGAGCATGCGCCGCGGAGATAGAGAAGAGGCGACATGGTCGCCAGAGGGGCGATTCAGATGTAGAGAGGTTTAATCTGGAGAATACCCTTTCCAATGGTGAAGCACTGCAGGTACAACGTCAACAATGTTTAATCCATGTTTAACCTTTTTTGCTGCGTGATTACACACTTCCCCCCCTCCTCCCTCCTCCTCCTCCCTCCTCCCTCCTCCCCCTCCTCCCGCCTCCACCTCCTCCCTCTTCCTCTCCTCCTCCCTCCTCGACCTCCTCCTCCTCCTCCTCCTCGTCCTTATCGTCCTCCTCCTGCTCATCCACCTTTTTCGTCTTTTCCTCTTCCTCGTCCTCCTCCTTTCTTTTAAGTGTTATGCAGATTATTCGTAGTATTCCTAGTATTATTATTACTACTATTATTATCATTCGTATTCGTATCATTGGTAATAGTATTACTACCACTAATATTAGTAGTACTATTAGTACTACTATTATTACTACTATTAGTACTACTATTATTACTAATATTAATATTCGTATTAGCATTCGTATTACTACTATTATTACTACTATTGTTATCATGAGTATTATTAGCATGATTCTTATTCGTGGTATCATTATTAGTAGTATTACTATTCTTACTAGTATGGTCATTAGTATTGTGGTGTTGGTAGTATGATTATTGTTATTATTAGTTGTGTTGTTCTTGTTGTTGAAGAGAGCGCCTGCAGACCCCGGAGAAGGAACCGACGAAACAAGACAGCCCGCAGCGTGTGAGAAGCAATCGCCCTAGATCAGAGCTCGAGTGAAGAGCGACCTGAGCCAGAAAGCCTGCAGGGCAAGAGAAACACGCACACTGAACAAGCAAGCCTGCGGAACGAAAAAGAACACTTCGAAAACCAGACAGGCCAGCAGAGCTGGAAAAATAAGCCTCCAGAGCCAGAAACATTGCAAAACTAGGGCAGGAGGGATTCATAGCAAGAAAGCGCTCGTATCTGAAAAAGGAGCCGACGTAACCTGAGAGCCAGCAGCCTGAAACAAAACAACCTTCGGAGCAAAAACACCCGAAGAGCGAGGGGAGGTGGCTCAATAACCGGGTGGCTCAATAATCAGACAGCAGGGCGAGATGAGGGCGGCCAAACTAAAATTACAAGACCCAGCCCCCATGAGCAGCCTGACGAAACGTCGTCCATAACGTGAAAGACTGTGGAACTGGCTTGGAACACAGGTCGATTGCAGAGATGACGGCGCAACTTCAAACAGTAACCCCCGATAACAAAAAAAAATGGCAAATGAAAGGAGCGACTGCGCCTCCGTAGATGGCCAGCCCCAGGGCGAGAATATTTCGAACACGGGGTTCAGGAAGTGAAAAGAGCATGCGCCGCGGAGATAGAGAAGAGGCGACATGGTCGCCAGAGGGGCGATTCAGATGTAGAGAGGTTTAATCTGGAGAATACCCTTTCCAATGGTGAAGCACTGCAGGTACAACGTCAACAATGTTTAATCCATGTTTAACCTTTTTTGCTGCGTGATTACACACTTCCCCCCCTCCTCCCTCCTCCTCCTCCCTCCTCCCTCCTCCCCCTCCTCCCGCCTCCACCTCCTCCCTCTTCCTCTCCTCCTCCCTCCTCGACCTCCTCCTCCTCCTCCTCCTCCTCGTCCTTATCGTCCTCCTCCTGCTCATCCACCTTTTTCGTCTTTTCCTCTTCCTCGTCCTCCTCCTTTCTTTTAAGTGTTATGCAGATTATTCGTAGTATTCCTAGTATTATTATTACTACTATTATTATCATTCGTATTCGTATCATTGGTAATAGTATTACTACCACTAATATTAGTAGTACTATTAGTACTACTATTATTACTACTATTAGTACTACTATTATTACTAATATTAATATTCGTATTAGCATTCGTATTACTACTATTATTACTACTATTGTTATCATGAGTATTATTAGCATGATTCTTATTCGTGGTATCATTATTAGTAGTATTACTATTCTTACTAGTATGGTCATTAGTATTGTGGTGTTGGTAGTATGATTATTGTTATTATTAGTAGTGTTATGGTTATTATTGCTATTGGAATCCTTATTAGTATTATTACTAATAGTGTTATGATTGTTCGTGTGGCTCCTCCT